GGATACTCTCTCAACAGCCGCAGGGAAGAACAGAGTTACTGTCAGTCTTACTGCACCATACAGGGACACTGCAACAAACACCCGACTTGCAGAGATAACATTCCCAAGTAGTACATATGCCATGAAAGTCATGAACACTGTTATTTTGCTTGCCACAAAGAAAGAAGCTAAGTTCAGTCCTCGAAGGTAGGAGCTTTTCATAACCATGGCAATCTCCTTCCTAAAAATGTAAAATACAAACAATTACATCAATCTTTCTCATTACATTTGCCTTCAACAATAGCAGGAGGGAAACCCACTCTCAGGACTTCACTTTTATAACCTTTCTCCTCCTCTTGCACCACCCCAACTCATATGTAAAGAACTGTAAAGAAATTACATTATATGGTAAATAACAAAAGAGAATTTTAAAGGCTTAGAAATTGAGTGGGGAAAATTATTATATTTAATATCTTAGTAGATATAGAAAATAATTATTTTTCAGAGACAGAAAACCAAAATACTTTCTTCTGCTTTGGTCAAACTAGCATTTTAATTCAGATTCTAATCTGCTTCAAATCTTTCTGGGGTGTGTACAAGAGCAACAAGGAAAAAACCTCTGTATAAAAGGTCAAGCACCCACAAACTCCTTATCCTTTCAATATCAAATCCCAGCGGAGTTCAATCACAAAACTCCTGATAAGATCAACACATACCCTGCAGTTGAAAAAAACAGGGCAACTTCCAAAAGATCAAGAGTTCACCCATGGCCCAAGTATCTGTCATTATTCAGCTGTTGCTCCTCAAGCTGAATCACAGGATTTGCAGTATTTCCTTTGATCTCAGTCTAAATCCTTCCTGATTCGGACCCTGCTCTTTCTTTTGCTCTAGGAATTCTGGTTCATAATTCAGAAAATACTGCTCTGTGAGGTTAAATGTTCTGCTAGCCATTACCCGAGCTAAATAGTGATTGAAGCACTGCACACACACCTAAGTCTCCCTCCAGCAACTGAAAAGCTGCTGATGCGTATGTTCTCAATTTCCACTTCAGTTAAATTTCAGTTTCCACTTCTAAACGACTCATCAAGTCCAATCCTCAAAATGTTACTGCACTATCTATAATGTGGATGCCATCAGGCTTAACTTCTTATTATAATAATAGTTTTTCTTTATCAAGAGAGCCATAACAACTTACTTCTTCCCTATATATTCTAATTTTATCTGCTTGAAATAATACAGAACATAAAATCCTGAAACAGTTCCTAATTTCTCTTCCCAAATATGTTGTCAATTCTCAGCAAAAATCTTCATCATTTTGCTTACCTTCCACTTGGAATAACATACTAAGATTAGAAACTCAAGGTATGATTATACAATTTGAAGTCAATTAAGTCCTCACTTAATGGAGAGAAGGATGCAGGATGCGCTACTGGAAAACTAGTCAAGCAACTTTCCCACTATGCTTGCCAAGTTGGCTGAATTGACAGACTTTCAAAGAGTTTCAAAGACTTATTTTTTCAGCTTAAGGGCTCACAATCTCTGATCTCCTCCAGAGTACAGTGAAAGAACATTTGTACATAAACTATTTGAATTGGGTCTAATTCAATTACTTCTACAATCCTCGATGAAATTCTTTTCCCACCCTCTAATAATCCTTAATAATCCTCCCACTATCTGTGGATAATCAGCAAGTTCTTTGTGCTACTCTCCACAGATATCAGATAAATTACAGCCTATCTGCAGGTTGTATATAATAAACTACGCTGTCTTAAGGCATGAAGGTATATAAAAGGAAACCAATACTGACAGCCACAAGAAAAAAAGAGCAACGGAGGAGTTCAGATGTCATCTTAGCAACTGCCAAGGGCCACTGTGGAAATACTGGGCAATAAATCACCTGGCTGAATTTAAGACTTCTAACTACCGTTTTCCACAGCGCTGTTAAAGAAAAGAAAGAGGGCTCAAGATGTGTTTTGGAAGAGCTTATTTCTCTCCATCATTAAAAAGGAAGCCTCTAATCCTAATGAAGTGTTGAACTTGGAAATCTAGAGTTTAATGACGTGAATACGCCCATTGAGGAAGCTTTCAATAAAGAAATATCCTCTCTGGCTCCAAGCCAGAGAGTAAAGCTTTCAATCAATCAAGAACATTCAATCAGCACAGGATCCTATAATCTAAAGGAGGAAAGGATTATGTGCATGGGAAGAAATGTTTCAGGGAACATTAGCAAGTCTGCAAGTCTGCACGTGCCTGTAAAGGAAAAAAAAAATCCTTTTAAAAAAAAAAAGAATTCCAAATAAAACAAATTTTCAAAAAATTTTAAAAAAATCAGAGAATCTAAGCAGGATAAGAACCTTCTACTCATATGCTAGATAAGGAAGTAACATGAAAATTAAATGATGAGAAATATGTACCTGAACTCCTACCGTTATCCTTCAGCACTGAACGTTCTGAATATTGTCAAGTAAAAGCACAAATATCAATTGAAAAATTGAACTTATGAATAAGTTTTAATCAGATGCTGATGGATCTCTGAAATGAAATGTCTTTGGATACCTCACTGAGCTGGCCTTGCCAGTTGAACAGCTAGGGAATTTCTGAGCTGCCGTCTTTCTTCCCTCCACCCTTCCCAGATGGCTTGAGCAATACTTCAAAATGCAGAAAGGGAAGCAGAGTACCAGCTGAGGATGCTATCATTTAGGACAAAGTCAGATTCCAGGTATTTCTCAGAAGGAAAATGTCTGCTTATCGGTTCCTTGCTATTCATTTACAGAGCTGTGAGGATGAAATTGTTCAATTACAACCACTACAGCTTACTAGTCACTGTTTTTAAACACAACAGTAAAAGGAAGCATAAAAAACTCTAGAATTTTCAAATATAAAAATTTTTATTTCCTTTTTTTGTCCCCTTAGGATGTATTTTCATCCCTTCACTTTTGCTATGGAAAGTTTAAAAAAAAAAAGGCCAAAGAAGTTCAAGTAAACTGCACCTTAAAGCACAAAATAATGCACTTACTGACATGTAAAAAAATGGAAACAGACATAGATCATATACCAAGCTGTATCTTTCCAGGATTACCTTCTTAAACCATTCACAAGTTCCGCAAATGATTTTTCCCAAGCATACATCTTTATTATCTTCATACCACTTATGACTTCATTCATGGTCCTAATCCTGACATCTGTTAAGGTAGCTGTCTTGCTTCTGTAAATAGCACACAGTAAAAATTCTCAGATTCTCAAAAGAAGAAAGACTATTTACAATCACATAACATACTCATATTAATGAAGGTTTTGTTTTCACTTGTAAAGAGGATTCACATAATTGTAATTGCATTAAAAGGTCTTCCTAAAACAGTACCTTAAAGTTGACACACAGCAGACAGACTTGGTATGTCTGTATTCCTGGTGTTCCCTGTTCTCAGGGAACTGCAAGTTGATTCAATGTTCAGAATTACGTCAGTTTGTGCAAACACACGCTACTCCTTAAACAACATATTTGTGTATAAAAACAAAATCAAATGAAAAAAATTTACAGATACAAAATCTAGAATTAAAAATAAAAATAATCAGAAACTACTTTTAAAAATGGTTTTGAAATGCCAAAATAACAACCCTTCTCACAAGGCTGTTTTGATGTTAAAAAAACGGACCTCCGTTTGTTGCCTTTTTAAGATTAACTCTAGCTGAAGCAAAGATTACTTCATAACAGTACATGAGCTATAATTTAGGAGAGCTAATCTAGATATGGTTTTGTTTAATACATAAGTATCACTTAAGCATTAATTGTAATTACCACTAAAGTAAATATATCTATTTCAGTCCCACGTAATGTTTGTACTGATGAACAAACTGGAAAATATGTATAATTAAATAATAAAGTCACAGTTTTAATTAGGAAAAAAGCATTGAAAGTTAGAAGCCATGTAATGAATGCATAAACCATGCTAATAAAGCCTATTACGATTCTAAATTCATTCATGTAGACAAACATACTTTGCACACAGTGAGCTATGGTAGGTCTTATTTTGATAAAACATACCTTTTCCTGCTAAATGACTTATTTTTGTATATCCCAATGAAAGTTAAGATTCAGAGATATTTTTTTTTTTAAAAAAAGCGGAGGGGAAAAAAAAAAAGGCAGCTCTTTAGAAGGGGTGGCTGGGTTTTGTCAGCTTAACCTGCCCTCTCTAAGAATTCTCTGATGGTCTGGAAGAAATAGCCATGTTTAAAGCACTTAAGTAGAAAGAATTTCAAGCACTTGCTCATCATTTTAAAAAAAACTTCTCAGCACCAGCATTCCATAAACGTTGGGATGGCTGAAGTAGGGTATTAAGAAATATTTATACAAGAAAACTGACAAAAGAAATGTAGAACCTTGGCCCTAATGCAGTCAAGGCTTCTTATTAAGAATGAGGAAGACAGCTTAGCCTAAACCAACCGTACTGACACAGAACAAGATTATCTTTGCTAAGTCCTCTTTTCTTTTTTGAAAAAGAATCAGTAAAAGAAAAACAATTTCTCAAAGAACGTGAGAGCTCATCCTTTCTTCCCATACACACACCACCACTGCAAAAGGCAAAACTTGGCACGTGTTGTTCATGTCTCTGCAGCAGCAAACAATTCTCACCTGCCATCTTTTGAAACGGGCACCTTTCAGACCTAACTTCCAGGCTTGGTCTCCAAATAACAGAAGATTGAAGATGATTCAAAATAATAAAGTTAATGGAGGTTTCTTTTTTAAACAGTGTGAATCAAAAAGGCTATAGTTCTCGTAAACCAATTTTCCTGTTTGCCCACTGAAATGTTATCATAGTAACCATCCTCTTTCAAATTGTTATAAATATTCAAGAGTTTGGGAGGCTGGGGTATTTTTCTTTTGTGGTTTTTGTTTGTTTGTTTTTGTTAAGTTATACTCCTCTACATTGCAAAAAGCATATTTTGTACATACATACCGGAAGCCACGGTCTCAGAGATATTACATAATGGTTTAAAGTACACAGCCTTGCAGTGCACTGATAGCAATTTACGGCAGAGGAAGACATGTCCCCAGTTTTAAAAAAATATTAAGTTCAGAGTACATGCAGATGAGGACTGCGAAACACACGCTCACATAGGATGCTTAAGAGCGCAATAGGAAAGGACCTGAAAATTCTTCCAAGTGTCTGAGAAGTCTCCTCTATGATACTAATAACCATTCTAAATTAAGCAAGCTGCAGAAAGCAAAAAGGAATTTGTGAGGCGTATTTGGTGGGGTTTAATCACATCTGACACAACAGTTCCACATAGTTTTTCTCTTAAAAAAACAGGGCTTTAAACGAGAATATTACAGATGCATGGCTAAGCAGTGAAAGGCTTGAGCTGTTGTGATTAAATATATATAAAACGGTCTTCAGTTCAATAATTGAACTATTTCTCAAATAATATATTATGTCATGTGTATTTTCTAAGACTTCTAGTACTTGTGCAGGTAAAAGCAATACTGCATAACAACAGTGTCTACTATTCCATAGATTACTGAGCCCGTTTCTGCAAACTCCTACAGCACTGAAGCTAACGCCTGCATTATAAACTGGTGCGCATACATGCGTTTACAAGACTGGGTCACAAGTACAATGCTGAATAGTAGCACAAATTAGCTGCCACACTGAGCTTGCGTGGATTTTAGCAAAAGCTTTAATCCCTAAATTACTTCTTCATAGGCTGATTTCCTTAAATCCGTGCAGATTCCCAGCAATTGCCATGTGAACACGCTCATCCTTTGTGAGCTGGAATCCCTTTCAGTTTTCTCATTAACTCCTTCTCTTCACTGCACATTTCTATTCACAAATACAAAGATCTGTGCACACGTAGACAAGCAGAAGTTTTTCTGGTTAACAAGTTCTTTCCCTTGCACTGCATCTAAACAAGTGGCTGTTAATGAATGGGGGAAAAAACCCAAACAACATTACATTGCCACTAATTCACTTTTAAAATACACACCTTCAAGAAGAGATTTTTGTCACCTTGTTGTCTGACCCTGGACAAGTCCCTTAATCTCTTTGTGCCTCAGTTTCCCATCTGTAAAATGGGGATGATAATGCTTACCACCATGGATAAGGCACTAGTTAAGTGCTAAGTATTTTAACTATTGACTCAAACCTCACAGCCTTCAAAATTTAAAACTCAAAAAAACCCAACAGTGAAGTAGCTTGACACTTATGCATGCATATTACACATGCAGTGAAAATGCACATGTAAGAACATATTGGAAGTGTTGTAGAAATAGATTTTTTTGTAAAAAAACCTAAGAATTTGACAGGGAACACTGAATGGCTCATTATTTGAGAAATAGCATTTGAGCATAACAACTGAAGACTATCATAGTGATTACAAATAGAAGGAAGTCTAAGAGTTCATCTCATTTTATAATTCTCAGCTCTCTCTTCATACCTAGCCATGCAAGGGCAATATCAGTCTCAATACCTCTGGAAAACTTGTCTTAAAATACAACTTGAAAACAACAGTAACTCATAAAAAAAAAGTTTTACTTATCCAAAGAGCTAGAAGGAACCCATTCACACCGAATACAGATGCAACAAAGGTGCATAACACCACTAAGCATATGCATACACAGTAAAGGAACACAAAAATATTCCTCTTTAGATGTAAGAGCCATTTATAAACTCATGATGTAAGCAGGAAATGATTAATTACACAAGAAAAAGAAGTTAGCAAGCAAGAACATTGAAGATAATTCAATATTCCCACTTGAGGCAAGTCATTTTTTTAGGAGGAAGTCACAGAAAAACAAATTAAATTTGTCTGATAATGGAAAATTACTGCAAACTCATTTTATATCTCCACAGCCTAGAAACTTAGTTAGAAACCTCATAGCTAGCATCAAAACCACCATTATAATTTCTTTCTTCCTTTCTCTCAGTTCCTTCCCCTTTTTCCTTTCTGCGTTTTTGTCTTGGAGAAGAGACAGCAAGATCTTTGAATGTAAAACGTTCAGAGCTTTCTGCTTCAACTCCTGTATCACCCCAGTAAGTCAAACTTAGGGCAGGACTGACTATATTGCCTTTGTAGTAACCACTCCCTAAGCATCAATGCAGGAAGGCAAAGCTCAAGGAGTTACACAATTCTATGCCAAGATCTATAGCACGGTAGCTGCAGAAGCAGCCCAACTCTTTGAATATACTGGACAGGTAATGAAGGGCAGATATTTTCAGCATGTCTGGAAGACAGATCACTTCAAGTCCCCAAACAGGAATTCAGAAATCTCACATTAGAGACTATGAAAAACACTGGCAAAGAGAAAAGACAATGCAAAAAACCTCACCAGACAGAAGCTGACCTCAGAGCAGTACTCCACCTCCACCCACTACGCACATTTTAAAACCCAGAACAGAAAATACCTACAACCCAACACGTGCCACCTTACCTTAGGGAAGAAAAAAGCCTCCCAATGCAGGTCTGGACAGGAAGAAGAATAATCAGAACTGCCATTCCTGCAAGACATGATGGGCCTATCTCCATCCAGAGAAGTACTGTTACTGCTACAGCTTGAATTGGTCCAGCCCACAAGAAGTGCAAGAAGATTGTTACCTAGGCAAATAGTTAAGAAACAAAAATTAGCTTCTGGTCTTAGCTAAAAAATTAAACCTGAATAACACAAAGTTGAGGAAGCACCTTTCTTTGCAGAAGGTACTGAGGCACTCAGTGAGAATTCTGCACCAAATTCAGAGACCTAAATGTACACGAAGGTGCCTAACCTCCAGAAAGTACGCAAATTACCACACTGATTTTGTTTTATCTTCATGTACCAACATTTCTCCGAGCTTAGGAAAACAGCAGGAAAATATTTGGGAAGGGGCGGGGGGGGGGAAGTATGTTTTCCTCCCATATTTTAAGAAACAACTAGAAGAAATGTTCATAAGAAACATTTAATCACCAGTTGTAAACAAAAACTTCTTCACTCAAACGCCACAATTTCTTCAGTCCCTTGGAAAGACCCATTAATACTTCTTACCTGATCAAATTTGTTCACATCATTTGATAGAAGATTTACTATTTGACCTGTGGTAGTTTTTGCCATAGCTCCATTACTGAGACGAAGTGCCTAAAAAAAGTCAGAACAGTCTCGGATTGTCACAGCTTATAGAGCAGAGTACATCGATACACAGAAGACTTAATACACAAATACAACACCGGGGCAACAGCTGAAGGCACGTATCAGCCTTTGCCTAAAGCTGTCTGGGCACAGTTCAAGAACCTTAGATAATATGTGGGTTAGGTTAAATATTCTGAAGAAAGTCCTGAAGAAGAGAGTATAAAAAAAAGCCTAGGAAAAGACTGCGAGAACAAAAATGTCATAACTATCTTCATGTCTGAAATATTTAAAATGGGAAAATACCAAAATAGCAAGTTATTAAAACTAAACAAGACAGTGTGTAACTTTTCATTTGCATCGCTCTCCTGCACATTATGACCATCTGTTCAAAACAGGAACAGAAAACTCTACCTGAAGACCAAATTAAAATCAGGACAATGTTTGGCCAATTGAAAGAATTCTGTTTTGAATGAGATTCCTGACAGAAGACGAAAGCCCCAAGTTATTCATTTTACACTATTCATTCTTGCTAACACTGCAAGCTGTGCTTTCTGTCTTTGCAAATCAGAGATAACACCTCTTTACAAATTAATAAATATTTCCCTTGTTAATAACTCTTGTAAAACTGTAAGATTTCTGAATTATATTAAATGAAGTTTAGCACATGCTATGAAAAGCAAAAAAAGTAAATATCAAATATTTTTATAGGTTAATAAATAAGTTCATCAGTAGAAAACAGTACATGATTATAAAATACCCCCAAAAAAATCACTTCTGGAAATATGCAATCTGAACATTACTGCAAAGATCCAAACTGAAATAGCTCAAAGATGTAGATAACAGACCCTGCTTCCTTCTACAGCTGCTAGAAAGAAAACACAGTTTTGCAGCACAGGTAAAAAAATATACAAAAGATGTTACACGTTTTCCTGTAACAGGAATAATTCACTCCACAAAAACACTTCACATTTTCAGGTGATGCACATCTACTTCACCCTCTCCTAACCCAAAAAGCACTAACGGTTTCAAAAACATCATTCCAGTATTTTAAATCAGGTGCAAGAACATCAGACATCAAAATACTATTCAAAGTATCATTTCAAACAAAGTGCCTTACATTTCTTGCACCTCACTGTTGTGTTACAAAAGTATTAATCACAGAGAGAATCCGAACCCTAACTTCACTGAAATCAGCAGGCAGAAACACTTAAAACTCCACTAAGAAACTCTCTGATATTCCAACAATAAATCTAGGATATGGGGTATATAAGAGACAAGATTTAAATATTTGAGAAAATCATTGCTTCACTCCCTGTCTAAAGCCATTTGTCTCTCATACATTTGAAATCCCCCACGAAGCTGCCTGCAGGTAATGCAGCCACAGCACATCCACGTTGCTATCATGTTTACTCCACTCCACAGATCAAGGTTGATAAGCTCCTAGAAAAGCTGTTAGATATCCATAGACCATAATAACAGGAGTTCAAGTGATCCATGTTTGAAGAAGTTACCCACCAGGATATGTTTACAGCACCTACTGCTGCTTACTCCTTTACAACACAGACGTATCTGCTCTTTGAGGACCACCTGAGCCACCGAGGAGAAGACTGCACTGGTGCCTTGCTACTGGCCCACAGCCCGGCTCTGTCTGGGACCCACCACCTGAGTCACCTTTCTGACCTCTTCCTAGCTATTTCAGACACAGACAGCAAAAATAGTTTCAAAATTCACTACCCCAGTTCATTTTGACCACGGCAGCCTCAGGAGGAATGATGCAAGCATCTGAGCTGAAAGGAGAGTGCTTGTCTGTGACTGATTTGCCTTCTCAGGGAAGAAACAGTCGTTCCCATCGTCAGTGGCAACGCAATTTTAGACTTTTCTTCCCTTCCTGCTTCAAAACTACATCTGAAGTAGAACTGGTTTTTCTTTTTTTTTTTAATTTTATTTTTTTTAAAGTGAAATAAGCCTTACACTTTCCTGGCTGAATGGACCTGTCTAGACCATAAAATACACAGAAGGAAATGGAAACATTGGACACAAAGCAGCAGTTTTACTTACATAACCGATTCCTACCAAAAAGTCCTGTTTTGGTATTTTCCCTTTCTACTATATCCAAAACACAGCACCATATGAGCTGCTGTGAAGAAAATCAACTCTATCCCAGTCAAAGTCAGTACAGTGTGGCTTTAAATCCTGCTTTGATTGTAACATTTAAAAATTCACTCCGAAGGTATAAAATACTACTAAAGACCATCTAGAGCCACACACCTTTTTAAAAAGCAACTGTAGTTTCAATTTACATTTTATTTTACATTTGCCAATTATCTGTGTTTTCAGCACAAAGATCTGCTTGATTTTCTATCTATAAATTTTCTGTGCAGATCTATTTCCCAGGAAGCACCCTTTCTCAAGGAAAATAGGTTTTAGTTATATTAACTAATGAGAGCAGTTTGTAGACCTGATGTCTTAGGTTAAACATTTTTTTCTTCCCCTAGATGTAATTGCACAGGCCCAATTCAATTCTTTAACCATTCTTTGCCTTCCGTACTGCCATCTAACTGTTTTGATCTCTGTCTGCCCCAAACAGTTAATTCAAAAGCACATTAAAAAGGGAGAACTGACCATAGAAAGGAATAACGTAACTGTTCAGTCAAATAACTCCTGACACCTTTTTGGCTGCTTTCTGTCTCAACCAACTACTCCACAGCTTAAACTGCTTTAGCGTTTATTCTGAACCTCAAAGAACTTCTAAAAGTTAAGTCCTCCAAAAAAAAAAAATTAAAAATAATCAGCCTCTCATAAGTAGCCTTTGGTTTTAAAACATGACACTGCGAGTCATGAGACAGATTCCATTTTCAGTTTTGCTACAAGCTTCCTGCATGCATCACTAATACTTCTTACTGATCACAAAACATCTTGGAGTTTGAATACAGGGTTTTTGCAAATGAGATTTTATCTTTCCAGGTAATGAAAAAGGGTCTAAAACTTCAGAATTGCAAGCATTTGAAGTTCTCCATTAAGGATGCTTTCTCATCCAACCCATTCATCCTTGCAAATCCAAGTTCTTAATTACAACAGCAATTAATGAACACTACAAAAGTCCTGGTAAATTAACATCCAGATTCCTTCAAAAGCCTATATGAGGATAAAGAGAAAGTATGACCTATCTATAAGCCTCAGCCAATGAAGACCAATGATTAGAAAGGTTTATCAATGTTCTGCTGTGACCTCAGCCTCCACCCTCAGGAATAAACATTTACGAGGTGAGGGGAGATTAATTTTCCATTTAATCACATCTCTAGAAATAAGGGTGCACATTATGAACATTTCTTTTCCAAGCTTCTAAGCTAATATCAACACCGCAACAAACCACCTCGCTATATACGTATTTCATGAATTTCAAACTGTGTTATGATAATCATTTAGTAAATTAACACCTTAGAGAGATGTTTATGTACAAGAAAGAAGTGTGCCGTGTTAGAGCCGAGTTCCCAGAGGATAATTTCCAAGCTATCAGAAGAGGGAGGAGAATAAATATGTGCATGAAAAGCAATCATCACTTACAATGGGGACATTTTTACTCTCCTCACTTTACTGCTTTGCCCAAAACCTTTGCATGACCTATACCAGTAGTACAAGTGTTTGCCTTAAGTGGATGGTACCTATGTTTAATGGCTAAAATAACGTGGATTTCTTTAGAATGTAAAGAAACTTTACAGTCCTGATCCTTCAATTAAACGTTCTTTGCTGAGGTAAGAACCAGCAGGTCACTATTCTAGCAGCAGTAAAGCTAGAAAGATAGGACATTTTCCCTTCCAGCATCCCCAGCAAGGACTTCCTGCTTGGAAGCGGCTCAATGGTTTGGGTATTGCCAACAGCTTCGGAAGAGGGAAGCAGACATTTACAATTGGATTGTTTGCTCCCCGGAGCACATCAAGGTCAGCATTTCATCCTGGATGTTGCTCAACTCCTTCCTGTAGGTAATATCCATAACTTCTCTTGTTCCACTTTCCATCTGACTGCGGCCTCAGCTCTGTCTGTAGTCAAGGACAGCTATTTCTTGATCAGGACACGCAGACAGCAAAGACACCACAGCTTACTGAACGTACATCCCTTCTCACACTTCATTGGCTTTAATGAAGGACTCCAGCGCTCCCACAGTAAAACCAGTAATTGATATCAGAAAACGGCTCTACCCTACCTTTAGGATTCAGCTTGATTCTGAACTGTCCCTCCTCTGCCCACTCCTCTCTTTCTTCCCCCGCAAGAAGGAGGGATACTAAAGGGACCTCCCTGTGAAGATGCCGAGCATCCTCACCAGGCTGGAGGGGGCAGCGGCAGTACCGCAGTACTGCTGCCTCTCCCTGAACTAAGCTGACGGATGCCCCGAGAGACGGGGGGCGGGGGGCAGCCGCTCTGGCTCCCAAAGGAGGCAACTCACTACTTCTACAGAGCCGCTGGAATAAAATATAAATAAATCCCACCATTAACCACAACAGGGGCAGGGGGAGAAATTGGACAGTGAAGCAATACCCAGGCAACTGAGAGCGCTGAAGCAGATGGTGACAGCCAAGCATAACGTGTTGCCCTGGGATGAAATCACAGGGCTGAGTAACTGCCAGCATTCCCTGGGAGTTCTGCCCCTCTCCCACTGTATGCTGACTGCCTCTTACTGCTCCCGCGCACAGCCCTTCTACCAGCAACGGGGGGCTCCTCTCCGACAGCACGAACAGGTGAAAACCAGCAGCTCCTCCTAGGCTTTACAGCTATTTAATTCACCACCTTCACTAGGAGGACCAAAGCTGTCATTTGGACAGCATATCACCAAAAAGAGAACAAAAGCATGTATATACCTTTAAGGTCTGATATATATTAGCATGCACGACATTTCTACAAATGAGTAACTTCAATGGAATGGCAAGTATGAACATAACAAACAACTGTATTTTTAAACTCCCCTAATGACATAGCTGTCAAATGTCAAATATACCTGAAAACAGCTTTGCTTACCTTCCGATAAATCATATGACACATAGCTACCCTCAGCTTCATGCCAGCCCGCTGTACATGATAGAAGTATAAGTGGTGCATTATAGCTAGAATAAGTGTGCACACAGACAGAGCAGCTGCGTAGCAATATGCAAAATTCAAAGCTACCTCATATGAGGAATCATCGTTTTCAAAATAATTAATAATTTTACCCAAAAATATTGGCTGAACTATTTTGAGGGTTTCCTGAAAGAAAAAGAAGGGAAAAAAGTATTAACAATTTCGTATCATACCATGCTACCCGAGTTTGCAACCAGACAAACAAGAGCCCAAGTACTGCCACAAGTCACATCCCGTATTATTTTGTCTTTATTGTGGTCTAAAATGTGAAGCCAATTTTTATCAATATATAATCCAAAAGAACTATGTTCCACATTAAAATTTAGCTGAATCTTTAAAAAGAACTTTCTCAATTACCAGTAAAAACTTCGTTGTTATAAAAATCGCATGAACACGTATTACACTTCCATTTTTAAAGATGACAGTGTGTCCTTTACAGCCACTTACATACAACAAAAAAACCTTTTTCTATTGGGCACCCCACTCAGATACATAAAATACAGCTAAGCCTTACAAAGCAAGTCAATGGCTTGTAATGTCTCAAAAATATTGCACTGAAATCAGCTCTCTGTCCAACATCCATAATCCCACAGTTACAATTCAATTTTTCAGTCTCTATAGGGCTATAGCTCTGTTTCACTTTTCTGAGAGAGTACGCGAAGATTACAGGTTCTCTGAACAGCCCAGCATGGAGTCACCAGTATGTATCACACAATCTAAGGGGCCAAGTTTCACATTGCTGTCAGCAAAGAAGTGTGTCGTATGATATTTTACACCACTTACCTCAATCATTGTGAAAATTCCAAAAACTAAATAGGATTTCCAGTAACAAAGAATAATAGCTTTTGTTAAATGTGGCGTTTTTCCTCTCTTTTTTGCTTTTTGCACCTCTTTATCCCAATACCTGATAAAGAAAACACAAACATGCTGGAGGACAGAAGTAAAATCACAAGGCAATTATGTGGAATAAAATACTTTCAGACTTACAGTCAGATTGCCACCATCACTTTTATACAACAAGAAAAAAGTCAAAACAAACAAACAATATAGATAGTCATGTTTTCTCATTCACATAAACATGTAGTACTTAGTATTACAGGCCTATTTGCTCTTGTATAATCACAAACAATTCACCACTGTTGACTAATTTTGCCTTTGACATATTTGCCAATGAGGAACCCTTTCTTTCTTTCTTCTCCTCTCAGCTCAAACAGCCACTCACCTTAGTTAAGAGCCTATTATCATATGATCCTCTGACTACGGACTAAAGCGAGGCAGTGCACGGCGTGTCTTTATCTTCCTACAAGTTCTGCATTTCCCCAGAAAGGTTGTGAGGCACAACCCTTTCTCATGCCTGGTCCTTTCTTTTTTTCAACACGTACTTGGACGATGACGAGCAGACATGGCATCAGAGCAGAGGGACCTGTTTTATCACTTAACACTCCACACGTCTCTGAAGGCAAGGATTACAGCAGCAGAGTGGCAAAGACCTTTGCATTACCACATGTGTGCCCACAAGTAGAACACAAGCTGTTCACATTAAAATCAAAGACACTAATAAACAGCATGATTTTAACAAGAAAGCATCAGAATTTAAGAAGACTTCTTAAAGCATGCTGTTGTCAGTATACTCCCCCGTGCTTCTGGAGGCTAAATATTTTCTGCCAGACCCTCTGACCTTGCTAGTTTGAGGGCTGAAATGAGTCTAAGGCTTGAAAGCCAAATTATTTTGCAACAAAGAACACAAGTTTGAAGCACATAGTCTGAACAAGAAAATTTTTTTTATTTTTACCCTTTTTTTTTTTTGCTACAAGGATTACAGAGTTATTGCCTAAATGCTTTGGAATCAGAATTGAAACTGCGTAGATTTCGTGGGGTTTGTTGGCCCAAGAGAAAAGGCTACTTCCTTAGGTGACTATGAATTATATTCTCTGCTTCTCAGACAAGTACACTAAAGAAATAAAAACCACTCTTTTTTTTGCATGCTGTATTTTCTACCATTTCCTGACTCATGGAAAGCGTGTGCTTTTACTGTAAGAATCATTGGAAAGAGTCCATCTTCCTCCACAGTAAACTCCCTGAACTGCTTTAAGACACAACCACAGAATTTGGCAAAGCTCTCCAGCTACAAAGATGCTAAAAGTTGCACTCCTATGAGCTTATCACTGGCTCTCTTTCTTCAGTTAACTCAACCAGAGCAGCATGATATAAGACCTGGTCATAATCTTTCGTTTCTGGATTCTTTTTACTTCCTGAGGAGTCTCTCATCCCAACCAAACTATTAGGAAAGTTGATTTGCTCTGCCTTCAGTGTAAAGACAAGAAATAGTAATGCCGCACTTTCTTAATACAGAGGCCACCTTCTGCTAGTAGATGCCTCTTCCTCTAATTATACTTAGCAAAAGATTATTTGAAGACAAAAACCTTCTCTATTGCAAGGTTCAAGACAATTTACATAAACATTCTTGGAAGATATTTCACTATTAAAAGATAGACCCTCCTGGGTCCATAACATGAATTAGTACACAGTCCATGAAAGAGTATTTATAACAAAATAAAAACACCTCCAAGCTGCAAGCTTTTAGATGTTGAAGGCATTTTATCCACTCTACCATAGAGTGGCATATTTTCAACATACATATATTTATATACGCACATATCTAAAGGGTACACAGCTGTGACTTAATTCAGTTTGTGCTCAAAAACAAAAACAACAAAGAAAAAAAACTAAACCTTTTTCCTTACTTTTATACAGAGAAATTGAAAAAGCTTCTACAGCTATTCTACCACAGGCCAGAAGACTCACATTAATTTATTAAGGATTACTGCAGTAACAGTTGATGAAAAGTCTTCTTTTCCAAGCATTGTGCAAAGTGTCAAATTAATTATAAATGACATAATGGAAATACTTTAATCTCTAACGTATTTTCATTATGCGCAACTTGAAAAAATTAAAATGTTTCCATGATAAACAAGTTCTAAATATTACGCGTAGTTCTTCAGCATTTTAAACAGTAGACCTTGTTAAACTTTACAACAACTTCTTTTAATTTCAGAATAAGAATACGACTCTCACCTTCACCAGCAGAAATACAATGAAAGAGAACAATTTTTTTTTCTCCTTACCACTGCAATTCCTCTCCAAGCTTCTCTGAGGAATCTTCTGGCAGCACTTTATACATATCATCTTCTTCAAGCTTCCGTTTATGGCCAATAATAAATAAGGGATTCAACCACCTATTTAAATACAAATTATTAATAAACTGATCAGCAGACCAAAAGAGTAATTTCTTTACATATTAATTTAATTCTTCTACCTCTTTCTTCCTTTCTCTTCTCCTGCATCACTCAACAATGACACAGTCTACTGCACTTTTTTAGTACCTAAGAATTAAGTAACCCCCATTTTACAAACGGGAAAGCATTTCTTATTTCCTAAAGCCGTTTATGCACTATAGCATGCTACTCCCAGGCATCCAGACAGCCAGCACAACTCTTCTTGGCCTTAAGGCAATGCTCTCTTTACAGTATTTCCTTATATTTAAGGAAAATTAGCATTTCTTTAAATATTTAGGAAAAAACAGAACTTAATTCAACTATTAAAATATTGACAAAGTTGTAAATAAAATGGTAATACACAATAAAAGACATTTTTTGTAACTAGCGTGGCTACCCATTTACAGGAAGAAAAAACTAACTGCTGTTCAACTGCCATCCTGACAAATATTAAAGGTCAGTAATTTAAAAGACAATCATTCAAATGGAAAAATGGGTAAATAATGTGTTATTACTAGAACTTATCTTACCCATGTTTGGAAATATAAGCAAAAAGCACACTGTCACAGTGTGTAGGTTCAAAAAAGGAAAATATTGTCTAAGAGCTCAGTTTCCTTAGCGGGTAGATTTTTAAAAGCTAAGTATTTTATGAAAGTGCTTTGAAAATAAGTTGTGATAGAGCTACTTTACATTTGTTGGAAAACGCAATATTTTGTTAGATCAAATAATACTGTCAGGGAACGGTAAGACTAGCTTTTATGCATCTAGATCCTTCTTCAAGTCTGAAACACAGGTCAAGGAGGTCCAGTTGTGCTCCACAGAGCAGATGTACGTATGGTAGAAAGCACAAAAGTTGTTCATGAGATGGAGCAAAAGAGAAACACCACCTCTGAAACAGGCATGGCCTAGTGGGAACAAGGCAGTTAGGGAACTTGCAGTCTGCCGCTTAATTTCTCCACTGAATCCATGATACTTAGTTTCCAGGAGAAAAAAGTGGATTTTGGCTCTCAGGTTTGTTTCCTACAAGTACTTTCTCAGTTGGTCAACACGATCAGAACCAAGAGGTCAGGGATGTTTTCGAAAAAATACTGTTATTTGGAAAAAATACTCTTACACTCGTGGCAAGGTGTGTGTTTATGTCAATTGCCTGTGAAAGCTCATAACTGTTTTTTATTTTCTGGTGCTTAATTATTCCCTGATTTCACCAACACAGTTTTTAAAAGAGTATTTGGTAGACTAGGTGAAGTGTATTATTTTCTGGAAGGCCTACATGTGAGAAACCAAAACTGGGATGCTTTACAATGAGGGCATTTATTTATGCACAACCACAACAGTGATTATGAACACTCATCAACTAGCTTTGCATTTCTTGCTCGGGCATGTTCCAAATAAATTTTGTGTACACTAGCTTGTAAGAAGTTTGTTGATTAGTTTTAGAGAGGGTGAAGGGGCAGGCTGAACCCTAGAAAAGGAGACTTGGAGAGTTTCTTCAAAGATAGAACTGTTGCAAAAACCTTTTTCACAGGCTCCATGCCACAACGGCATATAACAAACGGGACGAATAGTGTTTTTCCTTCATTACTTAGCCTGTTAGCACAGTGTTTGTGTGACTCATTCAAAGATTAAGTCTCTATCCTTAGAGTAGCATCTTTGATGCCTAACAGCTGTTTTTAAACTCTTGGAGTGAGTACTGAACATCTGTAATATGTGAGCTGTTAAGTCCTCAATATACGTTAAAGGTACAATTAAAAACAGAAAGTATTTGTCAGACAAGTCTGTCGCTTGGACTGAACGGTCAAATAGCATCAGGGCCCAAATCACTGCCACAACATCCCTACAGCTCCTGACAAAACGTCTCAAAGATCAATTGCTCCAACCAGCAGAAGAGCTTATGCCTGGTTCGATGCAATGAATCTGCTCCATCGAAACATTTCTTCTCCTGCCTCAGCTCTTGCTGCCGATCACAGGTAAAAAGCAGACGTGAGGCAAATAACCTCAAGGCCATTCAAACAGTTTCTGCATGATGGACAAGAGACACCCCATTTGCTCCAGGACAGACAGTTATGGGAAAGATCTGAAGACCTCAGTTGACTTATGTGGCCAATACCAAGTGTTCCTCCTCTTGCAACATCAGTATTAGCCTACAGTGTACTCGATAAACAAGTGTCAGGTCTCCTTTCTGACAGAGAAAGACAGAGAACAAATTATCTTCCCCAACTTCTTTAGCATGAGAATCAGAATGAGGCAGCCCTTTCAGAAAAATACAGGGATAAATCCTTCTCACATCTATGGAAACGGTTACAAGATTCCACTTTTGCCAAGGTGGCAAAATCCAAAATTGTTCTGACATTTAACAAGGAGCATAAATAGGCTATTTATTATAGAATCACAGAATGGCTGAGGTTGGTTGGAAGGGACCTCTGGATCTCAGCTGGTCCAGCCCCCCCTGCTCAAGCAGGGCCACCTACAGCTGGTTGACCAGGACCATGTCCAGACGGCTTTTGAATATCTCCAAGGATGGAGACTCCACAGCCTCCCTGCGCAACCTGTGCCAGCGCTCGGTCACCCTCACAGTGACAAAGTGTTTCCTGATGTTCAAAGGGAACCTCCTGTGTTTCCGTTTGTGCCCACTGCCTCTTGACCTGTCACTGGGCACCACTGAGAAGAGCCTAGCTCCATCCAGCTTGCACCCTCCCTTCACATATTTATATACATTGATAAGATCCCCCGGGTCTTCTCTTTGCCAGGCTGAACACTCCCAGTTCTCTCAACCTCTCCGCATAGGAAAGATACTACAGTCCCTCCATCATCCTTGTGGCCCTTCACTGCAGTCTCTCCAGTCTGTGTCTCTCTCATACTGGGGAGTCCAGAACTGGACTCAGGACTCCCGGTGTGGCCTCACCAGTGCTGAATGTTGCTGTCTGTGATTGGCATGTAGTAGAATGCACAGAGGAAAATAAAAGAGGTTTTAAAAATATACTTAAATATACCCTTTTAACAAAATAATACAATGCTTTTAATGTTACTCTGTACACCACCACTCCTTTACTTAGATTTTCCAAAACACGGTGAAAAACCACAACTAGGCCACAGGAAGAACAATGCTTCTGTTGCAGGCAGCTGCTCTATCCTGATGTCAGTCTGATTCAGCACTACGGCCAACAGCAGTAGAAAGTGTTGACCACAGCCCTAGTGTAGTCCACTTGCAAAGTAACCAGATGAAAGACAACAGTCTCAAGTCTACAGGATTGCTAGAGTTATCTATCTTATCCTTCAGCCTTAAACTCTAAAAAAACCTTACTGACGATACACCCACCTCCACTGAGTTCTTACAGTTTGTAGTAAATCCCTTCTGCCCCCCCAACTCCACACCAATCAAGCGGTGTACTTACTGTGAGACCGAATTTCCAAATTAAGTAGCAGATGAAGACAACAGTGTAGGGTAAAAACTACCAAAAATCTCCAGGTTTTCAGATTATTACTTCCAGTGAGACCCAGTGCAAATTCAGGGCTTCTCACATTTTTCCATTAGTTAAAACCATAATTTTGAAAACAGTAATACACTGCACTACAGCCTCTATGTTAATATTCAAGAATGCAAGGAAAAGCAACCCAGAGTATACAGAAAACTGTGGTAATTCATTTTATGACTCATTTATTATAATGGACAACATGGCAAAGACTCAGCACAAGTCCACATGTTTCTCTAGGGTTAGGAAAAAAAATGCATAAAAAGAAACAAAAATTTTAAAAAATCACCTGTTGTTGAGCTTTCTGACTACTCTCCCCCAAAATACTGATCTTCAAGAGCTACTGATGGAGGTCTTAAGAGTACAAAAGCTTTCAACAGTATGTTGCTGAAGACATACACTTGAAGATTTTTAGAAGAAGATTAAAAATTTTTCTTTTCAAAGTTCAAATTACGTTTAGTCCTTGAAGAGCTTTTAGCCCAAGAACAAGGTCTTCTGCTTGTCCACTGCAAATTCTCAATACAGCAAGAACAGTGCAAGTTTCACCATCTCACTGATGTGTCCTGAACTTCACACTGGAAGGTTTACTTTCAGCCAGAAGACTTAGCAGATGTTCACAGTCAGTTATTAAAGTAAAAATTTCCACCAGGATGCCACACGCAGATTACGCCCCGTGGAATTTTCTGCACTTCGAGGAGATTTGACACCAACCTATTTCACACAGCCTGCTGTTACTCGAGTCACACACTCATAACAAGCAAACCAACCAAGCCCTTCTCTTGCCTGAAGGCTCTGTTAAATTAAAGAGTGCTGTAAGAGGACTGTTAAAGGAAGCTGGTAAATACGGCAACAGCCTACAAAAAAACCCATCCCTGAAACCTCAACTTAGCCATAAAAGAAGACTACTGGTTACAGTGGTATGTCTTTTGTCCAAATAGAAGTCAGCTAACACTGATCTCTTCAAGGGAGCGACAAAAAAAAGCCCACAAAAAAGTAGAATTTGTTGTGAACACAGAAACTGCAAGCTGCATTATTCTTTAATAAAAAAGCTACAATAATAAACAAAAATAAAGATGACCTAGAGAAATGTGAGGGAATATATAGTGATGTAAACTACTCCTCTTATCCCAAGTATGGGCATAAAATGGACTCACTACCAATCTACTGCTTGAAGAAAGAAAGAAGCAACATGGTGGGGAGGAAAGACTCACACCTCAATCCCAAATTTCTGTTTCTTTCTGAAGAAGTTGATCAACTTAAATAAAAATAGGACCCCTTAGTCATTGTCTTCTCTTTCCCCAGGTACCTTCCTGTTTCCTAAGGATTTTGAACAATTATTTAGTTCTTATGCATCACCTCATTTTAGTCACTCTTTCAAAACACTGGGTTCATATGATGCCTTTCCAAGACCCTAGCCCAAATTTTTGCTAGCATGAACTACACGTAAAAATGTAAGTATCTAGAAGAATCCTGAGTACCTTCTGTTCTGCT